GACCAATGTGAGGACCAACGAAACATGGATGAGCTTCAGGTTTGGTGTTAATCGCAATGTTTGAAGCCCAGTCTTTTTGCAAGGCGGAATGGAAGTCCATGCCACAAATACTTTCATCAGAGATCTGAACAAGGGAACTATACATGTACATACCAGGGACCAACTAAAAGTGATCGAAGACGTAGCAAGTGATCGCTGATTGTTTTTTGGTCTTTTGCTGTGCCTCTTACGTGCGGAACGGTTCGTGGCACCTGCCATCCACAAAGGCTTGGCATAATTGTGGATCTTTATCTGGCAGTCTTGATTGCCGAGAAGGTGCACAATTGGTTTGATCGAACGATGGAGATGCCACAGCTTGATGGAACATCGTAGAGGAATATGGAGGATGGTTTCTGGATGGTTTCAGGACAACACCCACCAAATGCTGATTGCTTGCCAGGGCTTTTTTCTTAGTGCGATTTTTGTTGCGTCGATTCCCCAGAGCCGGGATGAATGCGTTGTGCTGACTTTATCAGATTGCGGAACCAGATTCAAAATTTCAAAGGTGAGATGCTGTGATTGTGATTAAGGGTACAGGTCAGAGATTGGTCCCCTTGGATTTTACAAATGTTAGTATTGATGTTTACTCCTTTTCATATCTAGAAGGTTTGATGGGACATCATGATGAGTTTTCTCTGTCTATGGCTTCTCTTACTACGTGCCGAGGCTTCATCTGGGATATTCCATTGCTCTGCTGGCCATGGCTGGGTAAGACCCTCAATAGCTGCTTTTGTTGACGTCTCATCCTCTCACCAGCGCATGCTGTAAATCATGGGTTTGCCAAGGCCTATTTTGAAGATCCACGTCGGGTTGATCTCAAGGCACGTTCTGGGCAACTTGCAAAGAGTCGCATCATGTTGGTAGACTTCGAATTCTTGTACTTGCTCGGAAAGGAACGAGACGGCCCAAGAGTGGAAGAAGAAGGAGCATTACGTCGTCCCTGCCTTAAGATTCGTTTTCCTCAAAGTGTTTCACATCCTTCAACATGTTCCGCCAGCCCACTTTGGGAGCCCAGATACAGGTTCTGGGGCCTTCGGGGGTAATTCGCTCATGGTGTAAGCTGGTTGGCGTGAAAGCTGGTCGGTGCAAAAGCTGCTTAGTGCAAAAGCTAGTTGGTGCAAAGGCTAGTGGTGTGAAAGCTGATTTGTGAAAAGTTGATCGAGGAAGATTGTCGGTGCAAAAGGTGGTTGCTGTAAACATATAGTTGGCGGAAAAACTTGTTGGTATAAAAGCTCACTAGTAAAAGCTCGATGCACAGAAGCTAGTCGGTGCAAATCCTGGCTGGTTGAAGCTAATCGGTTTGAAGCAGCTCCCGGTGTAAATGCTGGTATTTGGGGTGCTGTCAGCTCCGTGACCAGCAAAAACACCTTTGTATTACAGAGTTTTGCCGTTTTCAAACCCTTGTAAAAAAGGAAGCAGCACCGGGAGGAATTGATTTGGCAGCAATTGCTTTTCTGGGTTTATGAACATCCCGGTGGGCAAGAACGGTTTTGTTCACGCATCCAAGAAGAAAGAAAGGAATGAAGCAAAGCTTCAGAGGAGATGGAGGTTTCCCCCCTTCGATTCGCACTATATTACTATATCATATTCATACGTATAGATCATATATCATATTACACGTACAATATATGTACTGATACTTATATGTACTGACACTTATATGTACTGACACTTATAACATCTTGTATATATATATATACACACCAATATTATCATACATCATATATCATATATCATACAACATCATACAACATACATAATACATCATCATACATTATATATAATATTAATACTTATATGTACTGACACTTATATATACACACCCATATTATCATACATCATATATCACATATCATACAACATACATAATACATCATCATACATCATGCATGACATATCATATCAAATATCGTACACACACACGCATATATATACGTATATATATATATATAAATATGTACATACACACACATATATATATATACATGTATATATACATATATATATATATGTATATATATATATTATTATCACCATTTTATTGGTTCAATCATAATGTTGCCTTCTAAGTGTGTTCATTTCGGGTCCTGCTAGGCCAACAACACCACCATTGGTGACAACATTCCTGTGGAGGAACTGGATGATGATGAGTAGCTCCAGCATGTTGACCTTGTTTTCAGTCATCCTTTCTTAAAACATCTTAAAGCACTATTCCTGTGATTTTCCAGGTCTTTATTTTTCATTTCCATGATTTTGGAGTTCCGAGATCTTTGGAGTCTAGACACCTGCTTGTTGGAGATATTGCAGTGTGTGGCATATTGCTTGTTTGCATCGGACCCGTGCAGAAAGAACAGTTGTTGCACCTTCCGAATTTCGGCTTGAAGGATGACAGATAAGGAAATGCAAAGAGGTCGAGACCGTGAAGCATTTTTGATTCACTTCACTCGAATCCACAGACTGGCCTGGCCAGATACAACGACATCTTCGACCGCGATGCTTTTGTGTATGATCGCACCAGGACTTGACAGCAGCATCACAGTCCAGTCTCTGTCAAGTTTTTTCCACTTGAAGCATCCCTCATTGATTCGCAATGGGCACATCAGAGCTTGCCAGGAACCCTTTTGACAACGGGAGATTCACAAACTGCTGGAACTTTTGGTGCCAGCCCCGTTGGCCTGCTGCCAGGGGCTTACTTCTATGCCACGCTATGCGTTCCCAGCCAATGTTTGCATGTCACAAAGCTGCAGTATGTCACAAGTGTATACTGTATGCGAGTGCTGGAATGCACCTTACACATGCCTTCTATAAACTCGCGTTGTTCAAAGCTGTCTTCAATGTCTTCGGTCCAAACAAAGCTTGGCTTTGGGTTGGTTCCCAGGATGCCAAGGGCGAGTTCTGAGCAAGTGAAGAACTCCATGTGTGCCTCCGTGGACTCAATATGACTCCATGGACTGGACATGTCTCACATGTCCCGTACTGTAATGTATTTGTCTGCGGCTCAAAGTTGTGATGCCTACTGACCCACAGAACTGGTCATGTTCAGTGTTAAATTTAAATCATTTGGATTTTTCTGAAAATATCTGAAAATAGGGTACCACCCGAAAGAACATACTGTAAATAATATCATTTTCCCATGACCATGGCCATTTGGAGTATCCCCACTTTCAGACAGTCCAATTTGGGGCCAACATTTTAGTGTAAGACAATTGGGTCAGGATTCTTGTGTTGATTCGTTGAGCGCTGATCAATTTGAGCCATACTATATGTAATATATGTAATATATAGGCATTGATTGCATTTGGCTGAAAAACTCAAAGCGAAGTTCAGCCAAATAGTCGTGAGCAGGGTTTTCCTGCCGTTAATGATCCCAAGTTGGGTGCTAATGTCGCCCTGTCCCTGTGCCAATGAGCGTCGACACGGTCGACATTTCTAGAGTCAACTTGCTTCAGCTGTGAAAGAAGCTACAGCAATCATGTCCGAGCATGCAGAGTGCTTGTATCATGCTTGGAGCTGTAGCAGTGACGACGTTGGAGCTGACGAAACAAATCCAGCAGCTTCCGGCTCAACAGCGTGTTCCAGAAATTTGTGTTCTGTCTGGTACTGTAAGAGCCCATAGAAAGACTCTGGCACCACGCTGACACAGAAAGTGTCTGGAGTGAGCTATGTTGCGGACCATTCCATGAGGCAGCTGCAGCTCCAAGCTGTGACACAGTGAGACTCACAGCGAGACTTGCGTGTTTTTTTCCCGAACAATGCAGGTCTGGTGCCTGCGCTTACGGAAGCGCCTTGGAAAGAATTTGGCACAGGTGAAAGTGGTGCGACTGATCCCAAATGAGGTTTAGTCTGTGATTTTTTCATTCAAGGCTACAAGCCAGCGCTGCAAATCGAACAATACTCGTACCAGTTACCACACTCAGGGGGACCTATGCCAACGTGCAGACCTTACCACCGCTCAGATTGAATTGAGTTTGCTGACTCTTTGAACAGTTGGATTCCTAGAGTGGTCTTTTCCTTCTGCTATTTGTCAAGAGGTATACGCATTTGATGCAGCCTGCCGCCGCTCCCTGCATGACTGGTGCTGTCAACTTTAAAACGATGAAGCTCAGCATGTCAGCATGTTGCATGCACGCAGCAACCTCTTTGAATCTGCAGGAATGAGTCTGCCCCCTTGACGGGTGGACTCCATGGACCGACAGCACGTCTCCCCCTCCCACCTCCGCACCGTGGCCGCAAGAACTCAATCTGTTTTGCGAGATGATGTTTTTGTTTCAGTATTCAAGATGAACTCTGAGGACTCTCTTGACCAGCAAGCCACCAACCCGCGAAGAAGACAAGGAAGATATGCAGGTGAGAGTGACCATCCACAGCGTCGAAAGCTGCCAATTCCAGGAATTCCCAACTTCCAAGACAACCCGCGAAGTTTCGCCTGTCAGCAGTCCACTGGGTGTCTCAAGTGTTGCACTTGCTGGCCATTTATAACATGTTATAACCCAGTCAGTTTCGCGACACTTGGAGGGTAAAACCAGATACTGCTTGATGCAAAAGAGCATTGAAGGAGTCTGACGATAAAAAAAGTGGCGCGGAAGACAAGCCTGGCCCTCCAGAAAGTCTAGTGCAACGTTGTGCAGAATTTTCTGAACCCCTGTGTTTTCCCGTCCATTCCCATTGAGTGACCTTGGGCGCTCAGGGGTCGGAGCGAGGACTACATCTTTTGTGGGGTAGACCTCAAGCCAGTGTTGCCAGTGGCCTGATCCCCAGGGGATCTACTCAGCAGCAGACGTGTCTGGTAATTGATAGTTGATGATGCAATGACATGATGGTTGGAGGCACTCGCTGTGTCAACTGCCCGGCCCTCAGAATGTGATGAGTGCTACAGTCACCGGAGCTTCTGCATCCTGTAGTAGTCACTCTCAATCTTCAAAGGCAGATTCATGCAGCTCGAGGTGATCGGGGGACTCTGTATGCTCCTGGTTCAGATCCCCATGCTGTCCAGATTCACCTTCTTGGACCAGGCTATATACTTTATTATAGCTGCATGTCATGGAACGATTTCTCATCTTTTTCACATGCTTTTCTTTTCTGGCTTCAGGTGTATCTATCTGCGAGCTTTGCAGTGCTTTATGTCGTTGTGATGGGTTGCATGGGGTGCCTTGGTTCAACATAGCTGGGCGAAGGCATCATGGTCACAGTATTGCTACGTTGACCTGTCAGGTACTGCGCCTTCATAGATCCCGGGCAGGTCAAAAAGACCCGCAACACCAAAGTTGGTGCCATGGACATTGAGGAGGCTCCAGACCAACCTTCACGCAGAATTGGAAGTCAGAAATCGCATCAAATCGTTGCATTTTGTCACTATTGGTCAGGGGATGCCACGGCGCGCATATAAGCATTGCCCTCAGCCGAGAGTGGAAGGAAAGGAGTTCTGGGTTTTCAGTAGCGATGCACCTTGAACTTGTCGGAACCGTGAGGTCATGGCAATATCCCCGCCCGATCCGGCGCTACGACCACTATTGTGCCCTTGGTTGCAATCGGTGCCTCATGGCAAGGGACTGATGGTTTTTGCCTTGCTCCTTTGTGAACCTGATATTATTGATACTTATGGACATCATATAGATTGCCAAATTATCATAAATTATCTAATATCAAATATACAATGATATACAATGTCTAATGTCCAAAATACAATCTAGATATATATATATATCTATATCATAATATATTTTATATAATATATGTAAACTGTGATATATTGTATGCAAGTTAGATATACTTACGCACACATATACATCACATATATCATATACATACGTATCTGTATATATATATATATACACCAAAGATATACGTTTCATTATTGTTTGTTTTCCTTACGGATATCGCAAGGCAAGTGGCTAAAGAATGTGATTGGCCAGTAGCTCAGAACAGAATGATGTGCAAGTGCAGGGCAACACTTGCGTCACAAAACTTGCAATGCCTCCAGCGAATTCCCGAGGCCTTTCAAACCACCGTGAGTTTGTGGTGACGGTGGGGGGTCAAGACCTTGGAAATGCGTGTTGGGCCATGCACCAATGTGAGGACCAACGAAACATGGATGAGCTTCAGGTTTGGTGTTAATCGCAATGTTTGAAGCCCAGTCTTTTTGCAAGGCGGAATGGAAGTCCATGCCACAAATGCTTTCATCAGAGATCGGAACAAGGGAACTATACATGTACATACCAGGGACCAACTAAAAGTGATCGAAGACGTAGCAAATGATCGCTGATTGTTTTTTGGTCTTTTGCTGTTCCTCTTACGTGCCGAACGGTTCGTGGCACCTGCCATCCACAAAGGCTTGGCATAATTGTGGATCTTTATCTGGCAGTCTTGATTGCCGAGAAGGTGCACAATTGGTTTGATCGAACGATGGAGATGCCACAGCTTGATGGAACATCGTGGAGGAATATGGAGGATGGTTTCTGGATGGTTTCAGGACAACACCCACCAAATGCTGATTGCTTGCCAGGGCTTTCTTCTAAGTGAGATCATTGTTGCGTCGATTCCCCAGAGCCGTGATGAATGCGTTGTGCTGACTTTATCAGATTGCGGAACCAGATTCAAAATTTCAAAGGTGAGATGCTGTGATTGTGATCAAGGGTACAGGTCAAAGATTGGTCCCCTTGGATTTTACAAATGTTAGTATTAATGTTTACTCCTTTTCTATCTAGAAGGTTTGATGGGACATCATGATGAGTTTTCTCTGTCTATGGCTTCTCTTACTACGTGCCCAGGCTTCATCTGGGATATTCCATTGCTCTGCTGGCCATGGCTGGGTAAGACCCTCAATAGCTGCTTTTGTTGACGTCTCATCCTCTCACCAGCGCATCGTCCTGTAAATCATGGGTTTGCCAAGGCCTATTTTGAAGATCCACGTCGGGTTGATCTCAAGGCGCGTTCTGGGCAACTTGCAAAGAGTCGCATCATGTTGGTAGACTTCGAATTCTTGTACTTGCTCGGAAAGGAACGAGACGGCCCAAGAGTGGAAGAAGAAGGAGCATTACGTCGTCCCTGCCTTAAGATTCGTTTTCCTCAAAGTGTTTCACATCCTTCAACATGTTCCGCCGGCCCACTTTGGGAGCCCAGATACAGGTTCTGGGGCCTTGGGGGGTAATTCGCTCATGGTGTAAGCTGGTTGGTGTGAAAGCTGGTCGGTGCAAAAGCTGCTTAGTGCAAAAGCTAGTTGGTGCAAAGGCTAGTGGTGTGAAAGCTGATTTGTGAAAAGTTGATCGAGGAAGATTGTCGGTGCAAAAGGTGGTTGCTGTAAAAGTCATATAGTTGGCGGAAAAGCTTGTTGGTATAAAAGCTCACTAGTAAAAGCTCGATGCACAGAAGCTAGTCGGTGCAAATCCTGGCTGGTTGAAGCTAATCGGTTTGAAGCAGCTCCCGGTGTAAATGCTGGTATTTGGGGTGCTGTCAGCTCCGTGACCAGCAAAAACACCTTTGTATTACAGAGTTTTGCCGTTTTCAAACCCTTGTAAAAAAGGAAGCAGCACCGGGAGGAATTGATTTGGCAGCAATTGCTTTTCTGGGTTTATGAACATCCCGGTGGGCAAGAACGGTTTTGTTCACGCATCCAAGAAGGAAGAAAGGAATGAAGCAAAGCTTGAGAGGAGATGGAGGTTTCCCCCCTTCGATTCGCACTATATTACTATATCATATTCATACGTATAGATCATATATCATATTACACGTACAATATATGTACTGATACTTATATGTACTGACACTTATATATATACACACCCATATTATCATACATCATATATCATATATCATACAACATCATACAACATACATAATACATCATCATACATGATATATAATATTAATATTTATATGTACTGACACTTATATACACACCTATATTATCATACATCATTTATCACATATCATACACCATACATAATACATCATCATACATCATGCATGACATATCATATCAAATATCGTACACACACACACGCATATATATATATACATATATATATATTTATATACATGTATATACATATATATATAACTATCACCATTTTATTGGTTCAATCATATTGTTGCCTTCTAAGTGTGTTCATTTCGGGTCCTGCTAGGCCAACAACACCACCATTGGTGACAACATTCCTGTGGAGGAACTGGATGATGATGAGTAGCTCCAGCATGTTGACCTTGTTTTCAGTCATCCTTTCTTAAAACACTATTCCTGTGATTTTCCAGGTCTTTATTTTTCATTTCCATGATTTTGGAGTTCCGAGATCTTTGGAGTCTAGGCACCTGCTTTTTGGAGATATTGCAGTGTGTGGCATATTGCTTGTTTGCATCGGACCCGTGCAGAAAGAACAGTTGTTGCACCTTCCGAATTTCGGCTTGAAGGATGACAGATAAGGAAATGCAAAGAGGTCGAGACCGTGAAGCATTTTTGATTCACTTCACTCGAATCCACAGACTGGCCTGGCCAGATACAACAACATCTTTGACCGCGATGCTTTTGTGTATGATCGCACCAGGACTTGACAGCAGCATCACAGTCCAGTCTCTGTCAAGTTTTTTCCACTTGAAGCATCCCTCATTGATTCGCAATGGGCACATCAGAGCTTGCCAGGAACCCTTTTGACAACGGGAGATTCACAAACTGCTGGAACTTTTGGTGCCAGCCCCGTTGGCCTGCTGCCAGGGGCTTACTTCTATGCCACGCTATGCGTTCCCAGCCAATGTTTGCATGTCACAAAGCTGCAGTATGTCACAAGTGTATACTGTATGCGAGTGCTGGAATGCACCTTACACATGCCTTCTACAAACTCGCGTTGTTCAAAGCTGTCTTCAATGTCTTCGGTCCAAACAAAGCTTGGCTTTGGGTTGGTTCCCAGGATGCCAAGGGCGAGTTCTGAGCAAGTGAAGAACTCCATGTGTGCCTCCGTGGACTCAATATGACTCCATGGACTGGACATGTCTCACATGTCCCGTACTGTAATGTATTTGTCTGCGGCTCAAAGTTGTGATGCCTACTGACCCACAGAACTGGTCATGTTCAGTGTTAAATTTAAATCATTTGGATTTTTCTGAAAATATCTGAAAATAGGGTACCACCCGAAAGAAAATAATGTAAATAATATCATTTTCCTATGACCATGGCCATTTGGAGTATCCCCACTTTCAGACAGTCCAATTTGGGGCCAACATTTTAGTGTAAGATAATCGGGTCAGGATTCTTGTGTTGATTCGTTGAGCGCTGATCAATTTGAGCCATACTATATGTAGTATATGTAATATATAGGCATTGATTGCATTTGGCTGAAAAACTCAAAGCGAAGTTCAGCCAAATAGTCGTGAGCAGGGTTTTCCTGCCGTTAATGATCCCAAGTTGGGTGCTAATGTCGCCCTGTCCCTGTGCCAATGAGCGTCGACACTTCTAGAGTCAACTTGCTTCAGCTGTGAAAGAAGCTACAGCAATCATGTCCGAGCATGCAGAGTGCTTGTATCATCTTGTATCATGCTTGGAGCTGTAGCAGTGACGACGTTGGAGCTGACGAAACAAATCCAGCAGCTTCCGGCTCAACAGCGCGTTCAAGCAATTTGTTCTGTCGGCTTAGAAAGAAGCCCAGAGAAAGAAAGACTGACAATGCTGACACAGAACATGTCTGGAGTGAGCTATGTTGCGGACCATTCCATGAGGCAGCTGCAGCTCCAAGCTGTGACACAGTGAGCCTCACAGTGAGACTCACAGTGAGACTCACAGTGAAACTTGCTTCATGTTTCCCGAACAATGCAGGTCTGCTGCCTGTGCTTACGGAAGCACCTTGGAAAAAAATGGCACAGGTGACAGTGGTAGTGCAACTGATCCCAAATGAGGTTTAGTCTGCGATTTTTTCATGCAAGGCTACAAGCCAGCGCTGCAAATCGGACAATACCAGTTATCCCACTCGGAGGGACCTATGCCAACGTGCAGACCTTACCACCGTTCAGATTGAATTGAGTTTGTTTGCTGACTCTTTGAACAGTTGGATTCCTAGAGTGGTTTTTTCCTTCTGCTATTCGTCAAGAGGTATACACATTTGATGCAGCCTGCCGCCGCTCCCTGCATGACTGGTGCTTTCAGCTTTATAACATTTTACAACGCTCAGCATGTCAGCATGTTGCATGCACGCAGCAACCTCTTTGAATCTGCAGGAATGAGTCTGCCCCCTTGACGGGTGGACTCCATGGACCGAATGCACATCTCCCCCTCCCACCTCCGCACCTTGGACGCAAGAACTCAATCTGTCTTGCGAGATGATGTTTTTGTTTCAGTATTCAAGATGAACTCTGAGGACTCTCTTGACCAGCAGCAAGCCACCAACCCGGCGCGAAGAAGACAAAGAAGGTATGCAGGATATGGTCTTTAGTCTTTAGTCAGAATGACCATCCATAGACGCGAAAGCTACCAATTCCAGGAATTCCAAACTTCCGAGACAACCCGCGAAGTTTCACCTGTCAGCAGTTCACTGCCGGTCTCAAGTGTTGCACTTGCTGGCCATTTACAGGCTTATCCTCTGCGCCCTGTGCCGAAGAGGGTTGGTTGGACGATGAACAAGTTTTGTCGTCGTCAAGCCACCCTTCTTCGGCACAGGACTCCTTCAATACTCTTTGCAGCTCCAAGTGTTGCGAAACTGACTGGCCCTCGAGAAAGTCGAGTCTAGTACAGCGTTGTGCAGAATTATTTGAACCCCTGTGTTTCACCGTCCATTTCCATTCAGTGACCTTGGGCGCTTAGAGGTCCGAGCGAGGACCTTTTGTGGCGTAGCGGCGTAGACCTTAAGCCAGTGTTGACTGTGGCGGCGACCGCTGGCAATTTTGGTTTGGGGTTGCTTTGATCCACAGGGGGATCTACTCACCAGACGTGTTGAACCTTGCTGCGATGACATGATGGCGGCTGGAAGCACTTGCTGTTTCCACTGGCCCTCAGAATGTGATGGGTTGCATGGGGTGCCTTGGTTCAACCGAGCTGGGTGAACCTATCATGGTCGCAGTATTTCATAGTCTTGCTACGTTGATGTCAGGTACTGTGCCTTAACAGATCGGCAAGTGAGGAAGACTCGCAACACCACCATTGATATCGTTACATTATTGTTGTTTTCCTATGTTTTCCTTATATACTGATATCATCTGATATCGCAAGGCAAGTCACCAAGTGGCTTCAGAATGTTATAATTAATGTTAACATATGTACCGCACAAGGCGGTGGCGGAAGTTTCAGAATAGGAAACCTATAGGAGACGTTGGTTGTTGTGAATCACGGATGGCAGAGCGAATCCACTGATTGACCGAAAAGTGGTTGGAGTTGTGTTTGCTGGAGTGGTTGCAATGGTTGCAGTGGTCACCTCACCCACAACTGCTGGATGTAGTGTGATGTACTGCAACTGTAGTTGTAGTTGTAGCGTAGTGGAGTTGTAGTTGTGGTGTAATGTAATTAGTGTAGTGTAGTTGCAGTCATATAGTTGTAGCTGTAGTTGTTTTGTAGTTGTAGTTTTGTAGTTGTAGTAGTAGTAGTAGTAGTTGTTTAGTTGTAGCTGTAGTTGTTGTGTGGTTGTAGTTGTTGTGTAGTGTAGTTGTAGTAGTAGTAGTAGTTGTAGTTGTTGGTTGTAGTTGTAGTTGTAGTGTAGTAGTAGTAGTAGTTAGTTGTTGTAGTAGTAGTAGTAGTTGTTGTTGCTGTTGTTGTTGTAGTTGTAGTTCTAGTTGTAGTTGTGTTGTTGTGTAGTTGTTGTAGTTGTAGTTGTTGTAGTTGTAGTTGTTGTGGTTGGTGTTGTTGTTGTTGTTGTTGTGTTGCTGTTGCTGTTGCTGTTGCTGTTGTCGTCGAAGTTAGGGTAGTTAAGTTAGTGAAGTTAGTTAAGTTAGTCAAGTTAGTTAAGTTAATCAGTGTCTACTTTTTCGACATCTTCACGTCAAAAAAGGCTCAAAACCATCAGTTTTTTACACTTTTGACTTCGAAATGTGCTTCGCGCCACAACGGCGTGCACTTTTTCGACACTTTTTCGACATCTGAACCTCCAAAAGTGGTCCGAGCATGGTGTGTTTTGTACATTTTGACTTGGAAATGTGCTTCGCGCCACAACGGCGTGCACTTTTTCGACATCTCAACTTCCAAAAGTCATCCGACACTGAGGTGTTTTGTACATTTTGACTTCAAAATGTGCTTCGCGCCACAACGGCGTGCACTTTTTCGACATCGCAACTTCCAAAAGTGGTCCGACCATGGTGTGTTTTGTACATTTTGACTTGGAAATGTGCTTCGCGCCACAACGGCGTGCACTTTTTCGACATCTCAACTTCCAAAAGTGGTCCGGACCTGAGGTGTTTTGTACCTTTTGACTTGGAAATGTGCTTCGCGCCACAACGGCGTGCAATTTTTCATCGCTCCTGGCCAGCTGGCTCCGCACCCGCCGCTTTAGCGAGCCTACTTTTCGACCCTCCGGAGCCACAAATCATTGGAAAAACACAGTGTTTCGCGACTTTCCTACCTTTTCGCGCATCTGCATCTTCTTTCTTCTGATCTTGTCTCTTCTGACTCTTCTCACCTCTGCTTTTCAACTGTCCATATTGTCGGAAGTTTCACTTCTAAACTTCCTTCGATAATTAATGACATTTTTAAGCCACTTGCCTTGCGATAGCAGGATATTCTTGGCCAGCAGCTCGGAGCAGCCAGCCATGCCGCCACCCGAGGCCTTTTGGATCACAGTTTGTGGCACAAACTCACGGTGATTTGAAAGTGGTGATGGTGGATGATGGTGGGGGGTTCACCTTGGAAATGCGTGCTGGGCCATGATGGGCCATGGGCCAATGATGGCCAATGTGAGGGCCACTGAAACATGGATGAGCTTCAGGTTTGGTGTTAATCGCAGTGTTTGAAGCCCTGTTTTTTTTGCAAGCCGGAATGGAAGTCCATGCCACAAATGCTTTCATCAGAGATCCGAAAAAGGGAATTATACATACTAGGCCCTAGGCACCAACTAATGGTTATAGAACGCGAATCAGATTATCACTGATTGTTTTTTGGTCTTTTGATGTGCCTCTTAGTGCCGAACAGTTCGTGGCACCTGCCATCCACAAAGGCTTGGCATGATTGTGGATCTGTATTTGAAATAGAGGTCCACAAAAATGTCCTGATTGCAGAGAAGGTCACAATTTGTTTGATCGAACGATGGAGATGCCACAGCTTGATGAAACATCATGGAGGAATATGGAGGATGGATGAGGATGGTCTCTGGATGGTTTCTGGATGTTTTCTGGACAACACCCAATAGTTGCCAGCATCCAGATCTTGGTCACTCAAATATCAAAATTATTGATTGCTCACCGGGGCTTCTTGGCGAGTGAGATCAATAATCTCACTCGGCAAAAATCCCCGTCGCATCGATTCCACAGAGCCGTGACGAACGCGTTGTGCTGACTTTATCAGATTGCGGAGCCAGATCACAGAATTCGAAAGGTAAGATGGTCTGATTTGTGATTGGGGGTACAGGTCGAAGATTGCTTGAGCGAAGTTTAGCCAAAAAGCAGCGAGCAGGGTTTTCCTGCCGTTAATGATCCCAAGTTGGGTGCTAATGTCGCCCTGTCCCTGTGCCAATGAGCGTCGACATTTCTAGAGTCAACTTGCTTCAGCTGTGAAAGAAGCTACAGCAATCATGTCCGAGCATGCAGAGTGCTTGTATCATGCTTGGAGCTGCAACACTGACTAGATTGAGCTGACGAAACAAATCCTGCAGCTTCCGGCTCAACAGCGCGTTCAAGCAATTTGTTCTGTCGGCTGAAAAAGAAGCCCAGAGAAAGAAAGACTGACAATGCTGACACAGAACATGTCTGGAGTGAGCTATGTTGCGGACCATTCCATGAGGCAGCTGCAGCTCCAAGCTGTGACACAGTGAGACTCACAGTGAGACTCACAGTGAGACTCACAGTGAGACTTGCGTGTTTTTTTTCCCGAACAATGCAGGTCTGGTGCCTGTGCTTACGGAAGCACCTTGGAAAAAAATGGCACAGGTGACAGTGGTGCAACTGATCCCAAATGAGGTTTAGTCTGCGATTTTTTCATGCAAGGCTACAAGCCAGCGCTGCAAATCCAACAATATCATCTACCCCACTCGGAGGGACCTATGCCAACGTGCAGACCTTACCACCGTTCAGATTGAATTGAGTTTGTTTGCTGACTCTTTGAACAGTTGGATTCCTAGAGTGGTTTTTTCCTTCTGCTATTCGTCAAGAGGTATACGCATTTGATGCAGCCTGCCGCCGCTCCCTGCATGACTGGTGCTGTCAACTTTAAAACGATGAAGCTCAGCATGTCAGCATGTTGCATGCACGCAGCAACCTCTTTGAATCTGCAGGAATGAGTCTGCCCCCTTGACGGGTGGACTCCATGGACCGACGGCACATCTCCCCCTCCCACCTCCGCACCTTGGACGCAAGAACTCAATCTGTCTTGCGAGATGATGTTTTTGTTTCAGTATTCAAGATGAACTCTGAGGACTCTCTTGACCAGCAGCAAGCCACCAACCCGGCTCGAAGAAGACAAGGAAGATATGCAGGTGAGAGTGACCATCCACAGCGTCGAAAGCTGCCAATTCCAGGAATTCCCAACTTCCAAGACAACCCGCGAAGTTTCACCTGTCAGCAGTCCACTGGGTGTCTCAAGTGTTGCACTTGCTGGCCATTTATAACATGTTATAACATGTTATAACCCAGTCAGTTTCGCGACACTTGGAGCGTAAAACCAGATACTGCTTGATGCAAAAGAGCATTGAAGGAGTCTGACGATGAAAAAAGTGGCGCGGAAGACAAGCCTGGCCCTCCAGAAAGTCTAGTGCAACGTTGTGCAGAATTTTCTGAACCCCTGTGTTTTCCCGTCCATTCCCATTGAGTGACCTTGGGCGCTCAGGGGTCGGAGCGAGGACTACATCTTTTGTGGGGTAGACCTCCAGCCAGTGTTGCCAGTGGCCTGATCCCCAGGGGATCTACTCAGAAGCAGACGTGTCTGGTAATTGATAGTTGATGATGCAATGACATGATGGCTGGAGGCACTCGCTGTGTCAACTGCCCGGCCCTCAGAATGTGATGAGTGCTACAGTCACCGGAGCTTCTGCATCCTGTAGTAGTCACTCTCAATCTTCAAACGCAGATTCATGCAGCTCGAGGTGATCGGGGGACTCTGTATGCTCCTGGTTCAGATCCCCATGCTGTCCAGATTCACCTTCTTGGACCAGGCTACATACTTTATTATAGCTGCATGTCATGGAACGGTTTCTCATCTTTTTCACATGCTTTTCTTTTCTGGCTTCAGGTGTATCTATCTGCGAGCTTTGCAGTGCTTTATGTCGTTGTGATGGGTTGCATGGGGTGCCTTGGTTCAACATAGCTGGGCGAAGGCATCATGGTCACAGTATTGCTACGTTGACCTGTCAGGTACTGCGCCTTCATAGATCCCGGGCAGGTCAAAAAGACCCGCAACACCAAAGTTGGTGCCATGGACATTGAGGAGGCTCCAGACCAACCTTCACGCAGAATTGGAAGTCAGAAATCGCATCAAATCGTTGCATATTGTCACTATTGGTCAGGGGATGCCACGGCGCGCATATAAGCATTGCCCTCAGCCGCCCCAGAGTGGAAGGAAAGGAGTTCTGGGTTTTCAGTAGCGATGCACCTTGAACTTGTCGGAACCGCGAGGTCATGGCAATATCCCCGCGCAATCCGGCGCTACGACCACTATTGTGCTCTTGTTTGCAATCGGTGCCTCATGGCAAGGGAATGAAGGTTTTTGCCTTGCTCCTTGGTGAACCTGATATTATTGATACTTATGGACATATATGGACATCATATACAGTAAATTGCCAAATTATCATAAATGATCTAATATCAAATATACAATGATATACAATGTCTAATGTCCAAAATACAATCTAGATATATCATAATATATTAATATAATATATGTAGAATGTGATATATTATATGCAAGTTAGATATACGTACGCACACATATATATCACATACATCATATACATACGTATATATGACTGTCTAGTGTTTGGCAGGCCTGGGTGGACAGTGGTCATTCCTTGGTGGTTGGTTTAATAAGGAGAAACCAATGCCAATTTTGGCTCAAGTAAATATTGATCCAAAATAGCAGCATTGTTTTCCTTGGACGGGAGGTAGCTGGTCTCGTGGTAGTGCCCACTGAATGGCCAGCGTAATCCCTGGGGTACATGTTGCTATGCACCGCGGCCTGGATGGACTTCTCCAACTACGTGCGCAGTCTTCTTCATGCGGGGCGAACTGCCGAGGCGCGCCTTCTTTGGGAGTCTGTTGTGGAAGTCATCCATAATGGCACTAACCCAAATGTGGAGGTTTTGGGAATCCCAGAGTTGCCTGGGGTGTGCAGAATCCCCTGCACGGAGTCACCATGTGTGCGATGTGATACCAGGAGAGGAGGCTTTCAGTTCCCTTTCGTTGGTATCTGGACCAGGACGGCTGTTTTGGCCTGAGCAGGTGATACGGCCCAGTCTGTATGGGAACGGTACCATGCAGGCAGGGAAACTTTTGAGCTACTGCGCTGCAGAGAGTGGCCTCGGGCGTCACCCGTGAGCAGCTCCTTCCACGCCATGTCGGCGGAGCCCTTGCGAGGTTGGCCCTGTGTCGTGACGGCATCACGATGCAGGAGCTTTTCGAACTATGGAGGTCATGGCAGCAGGGCAGCTGTACCTGGGTGGAATGTCGGCTGTGCTGGGTCCCAACGTTCACATCCTGCCCAACGTGTGGAGGAGCAGTCTGCAAGGTATGCAGACGAGGAGGAGACTTCTGCAGATTGTGACCTTGCCTATGCCTTCGAGAACTACCAGGACGCTATGTCAGCGGGGGGCCATGCTCTTGCGGCACAATGGGCCTCAGCCCGGTCCAGTGGCTCGGGTTCAGCAAGAGATAAGGTTCCTAAGCCGACCCTGAAGCCGATGATCCAGAGGCGGCAGGGAGTGACCCTGTCGACCAGTCGATATGGCCCTGATGCAGTGGTGCAGCGGGTCGAATCACTTGCACAGTGTTTTGAAGAAATGTCTGTGCAGCGGCCGGCCCACAAGGTGACCGAGGCTCGTCTGGCGGAGTGGCGGAAGCAGTGCAGCGACTGTCACAACAGAAGGTCACCCAGGCCGACAGCCAGACCATCATCAATGCAATCCACACCTGGAAGGAACTGGCACACTTCCAGGAAGACAGGGGCCTGGAGGTGATCGAAGATCTGGATTTAGCTTCGTTCATTCAGGAAGGCACAGATGGGCCAGTGAGGGCCCTTGCCTCTCTGAAGTGGCTCAACAAGGCTGGAACCATGGGATGGACCCTCACCAACATTCAGATCATCGCTGGTCGCCATCGTGCAGGAGGCGCCTCGGCATTGATCAGGGCAGTGATGATGGGTGAAACCTTCGAGGAGGCCTCAGACTGGATAGCCCAGAGGATGTGCCGGGCTTTTGCAGGGACAGAGAAGCGGCCAAGTGGCTACAAGAAGCTGTGAAGAACACCAAGCGGAGGGACCGCTGGCCGCGCCCATCGGGCTGCCTTGCGACACCAAGGAGTGCACTCCATCTGCAGGGCTTCAAGCTGGTGCCCCTTTGCATGCATCGCGCTTGACGGACCCGATGTTCACCGAGGATGGCGACGAGGCGGTGGCTTGGGAGCAACCGTGGTGCAGAGCATGCCTTGCACGTGCCCCAGCTTCATGGATGCCATGTGACGCGGGTTATGAGTGATTTTAGCAGAGCAGGGCGAGTGGGGCCACCTGAAAGCAGGGAGGCATCACTTACAACCTTTTTCTGTAGGCTAAGAGCTTAGAGAGGTATTAATTCATTCATAGGATGTCCATTCCATATGGGTCAAGGTAACTTGGCAGGATCAGAACCTCGGATAACAGCTCACGTCGGAGGAATGCGAGGAGGATAATCCAGGGTCCTACCAGTGCAGCTGCATGGTTCCTTTGCTGAAGAGTTCAGCTAACAAGGGTTAGCTAGGGTAGCAGCCCATGTCAGTAATCATTTAGCACCTTTCTTTTCAGGCTTTTTAGGTTCTTCCCTTAGGCATATCGAACCTGATGTCAGTTCGAGAGAGCCGGGGAGGGGCGTACAACCGTCTCTAGGGTGAGTCGGGAACTATCCAAGAGGATGTTGTGTGTTTTCAACCTGTGGAAGTTAAGATGCTGGTGCATGCTGGTGCATGCTGGTGCATGCTGGTGCATGCTGGGGCATGCTGGGGCATGCTAGCTCATGCTGGCGCATGCTGGTGCATGCTGGTGCATACTGGCGCATGCTGGTGCATGCTGGGGCATGCTGGTGCATGCTGGTGCATGCTGGTGCATGCTGGTGCATGCTGGTACATAATGGTGCATGCTGGTGCATGCTGGTGCATGCGGGTGCATGCGGGTGCATGCGGGTGCATGCTGGTGCATGTTGGTGCATGCTGGTGCATGCTGGTGCATGCCGGTGCATGCTAGTGTATGCTGGTGCATGCTGGTGCATGCTGGTGCATGCTGGTGCATGCCGGTGCATGCTGGTGCATGCTAGTGTATGCTGGTGCATGCTGGTGCATGCGGGTGCATGCTGGTGCATGCCGGTGCATGCTGGTGCATGCTGGTGCATGCGGGTGCATGCGGGTGCATGCGGGTGCATGCGGGTGCATGCGGGTGCATGCGGGTGCATGCGGGTGCATGCTGGTGCATGCTGTTGCATGCTGGTGCATGCTGGTGCATGCTGGTGCATGCTGGTGCATGCTGGTGCATGCCGGTGCATGCCGGTGCATGCTGGTGCATGCCGGTGCATGCTGGTGCATGCCGGTGCATGCTGGTGCATGCTGGTGCATGCCGGTGCATGCCGGTGCATGCTGGTGCATGCTGGTGCATGCTGGCGCATGCTGGTGCATGCTGGTGCATGCTGGTGCATGCCGGTGCATGCTGGTGCATGCCGGGGCATGCCGGGGCATGCTGGTGCATGCTGGTGCATGCTGGTGCATGCTGGTGCATGCTGGTGCATGCTGGTGCATGCTGGTGCATGCTGGTGCATGCTGGTGCATGCTGGTGCATGCTGGTGCATGCTGGTGCATGCTGCATGGTGCATGCTGGTGCATGCTGGCATGCATGTGTATGCTGGTGCATGCTGGTGCATGCTGGCGCATGCTGGTGCATGCTGGTGCATGCTGGTGCATGCTGGTGCATGTTGGCGCATGTTGTTGCATGCTGGTGCATGTTGGTGCATGCTGGTGCATGCTGGTGCATGCCGGTGCATGCTAGTGTATGCTGGTGCATGCTGGTGCATGCTGGTGCATGCTGGTGCATGCTGGTGCATGCTGGTGCATGCTGGTGCATGCTGGTGCATGCCGGTGCATGCTGGTGCATGCCGGTGCATGCTGGTGCATGCCCGGGCATGCCGGTGCATGCTGGTGCATGCTGGTGCATGCTGGTGCATGCTGGTGCATGCTGGTGCATGCCGGTGCATGCTGGTGCATGCCCGGGCATGCTGCATGCTGGTGCATGCTGGTGCATGCTGGTGCATGCTGGTGCATGCTGGTGCATGCTGGTGCATGCTGGTGCATGCTGGCGCATGCTGGTGCATGTTGGCGCATGCTGGTGCATGCTGGCGCATGCATAAAGAAAAAGATCCCTAGCGGCACTAGGGGTTAACTTTAGCCTTGACGACGTTATCGTTAAGGGGCTTATCCAAGAGAAGATAGCCAATCTTGAGGAATTTCGGTTTTTCTTTCATGATGGAGCCCAAGTGGAAACTTGGGTTACCAAACTCGGAGTAACCGAGGACAAGATGGTGCAGATCGCCAGGCTGAGGAGAGCCTGGGCAGCGGTCTCACTCTTTTACCAAACAGCTGAGCAGGACCGGTCTAAGGTTCAGACCACCGACGTGGATAGCATGCTTAACGAGAGTGAGCTGCGGATTCCAAGACGGCCTGCTGGCGGAGGTACCGCTTGAAGTTCCCAACCGAGGTCCATCCAGCGGATACGACTGGCTCCAGGGTGAGTCGGGAACTATCCAAGAGGATGCTATGTGTGTTCAACCTTTGGAAAGTCAAGACATTACAATTTCAGTTGACAACCAACCAGAAGAAGCGTAAGCTGGGTGAGAACCTATACACCGAGGAAGTGGATGAAGATGAGCCGTGCCAGCACAACGTGGAATCATACCCTGGACCGCCTCTACACCCTGCTGCTGGCGTATGCAATTGCAGGAGTTGCACCACCACCTGGTATGGCACCAGATGCCACCAAGGAGTCGACCTTGGGGGCAGACTCAGCGGAGTTTGCAGCAGTACCTCTGGACGTGTGCATGACCTACTGGTTTAGGGCAAAGAGGACGTGTTACCAGGTGCACCCTTCCAAGAGGATGGCATGGCTACAGGCACGAGACCAAGAAGAGCGAGCTGAGTGGACTTCTCGTTTCAGAGAGAGCACCTTGACCCTGGGCGTTATCATCAAAGAAGTTTTTCAGGCACGGGATGTGCACTGGATCATCCAACGTGGCGGCACCTTCACCGGGCAACAAAGTGGCACCCTCTTCTACATCTCCGAGTAAGCTCACCATGGGCAAGGCCATCAATGGTAAGCGAGTAGCCAAGGTGATAAGGGATGGCACAACCTTATGCCAAGGCTTCCAGCGTGCGGATTGCAAGCAGAAGGGCAAGTGCACCAATGGCGCGCATCGATGCGGTGTCATTACCAAGGGCGACAGGGTCTGCGGCGCATCTGGGCATGGGGCTCACACGTGCCGGGCCAACGTCAGAGAGTGAAGGGGCCCCGAAGAGGAGGCGGCAGCCTCGTCAGGGGTCGTTTTCCCACCTATGCCGCCACGACCCCCGCTTGCAGCCGACATCATGAGCGGGCCGGGGGCACCGTTCAGCAAAGCACTGTTGTGGTGTGGATGGAGAGTCATGCCCATTGACATCTTGCTGGACCCCACTCATGACCTCAGTGATGCAACCCGCCAAGAACTCCTGAGTGTGCAGCTGCGAGAGGCGGACTGTATCATGGCTGCATTGGACTGCTCAACCAAGTCCATGGCTAGAGAGATACCCATGCACTTCGACGGCGGCAGACCTAGCCCCAAGCCACTGCGCTCTAATGACCACCCAGAGGGCATCCCAGGGCTGAACCAGAGAGACGCAGCTCGAGTGGAGCGAAATGACAAGGCAGCTGACTTCGTCCTGGAAGAGATCCAGGCGATGGTGCAGCGAGGCGGCGCTACGATCAGGGAGAACCCTGGCCGGAGCCTCCATTGGGAGTTACCCAAGGAGAAGGAGTTGATGGACTCAGGGCAGTTCTGGGAGACAGAGTATTCGGCCTGTGTTTTCCAGTCAGCCCGGTGCAAGTACCAGAAGCTGCGGCACAATGTCCTCGAGATCTCGCAGTGGCCCCGAGCTTTATGCGCTCACACGCATGCCAGCCACGAATGGAAACCATGGTCCGAGAACGGCCAACGGGTATACCCTTCAAAGGAAGAGGCAGAATACTCCGCCGGATTGGCTTTTGCCCTAGCAGTGTCACTCTCCTGGTGGGCAGTGCGAGTAGCAAAAGCTGTGCTTCATGTACCTCGGATGCCACCTATGGAGACGGCGGGCCGCCGCGAACATTGGTTACAGCTGCACCCACAGTCTATGCGGAGCTGGGCAATGGCACCATTGGCTATCCTGCTGGGTTTGGAGCCACCACACCCACAGGAGCGAGCAAGAGTCCCTAGGCGAGACAGAGTAGCCAACCTGCTTCATGAAGGGCAATTGCCAGAGGGGGCCATCTATGTAGGACAAGGACATCATTCACATCGGCTCCCTACCACATGTTGGAAGCCCCCCTTTGTGGCTGGTCATGACTGTGCTCCCGATGAAGTGATGCCCTTGTACATAGACCACATCAAGCGCAACTTCTACCAGGACCTTCATTCCCTCTTGGGGAAGACTTTAGTCTGTGATTGTGCTGAAGAGGAGCTTTGCGAGGCTGATGTTCTGGCCGGATTGGTTTTTGAAGTTACTAGCCCAAGTGCATCGGCCCCTCACCCGAGGGCAGCTGGAATACCACCCAGAAAGGTCGTGCGTGGGCCTAAACGGGGCAGAGTGGCCCTGGCAGCACTGCAAGCACCGACACTGGCCAGTTCTTCAGTGGTGCGATGGACGCAGGAGGCTGTGATTACGACTTTTCGGAAACTGTTTCCAGCAGATGGGTTTTTGGGCTTCCGTTTTCCTATGATCGAGGACCTCTTGAACCAACACCCCCTTTTGCAGCTATGTGCAATGGCGTGAGGCACAAGGATTGGAGTGGGATGGACCTCTCAATCCTTCGGGGGGTCTGGAGTGACCAGACTCAGGCAGAGGCGCACTGAGGGCAAGCAAGCAGGGAGCCTTAACCATCGGGCGGCGCTACCGCCTCTCTTGCCATTTGGGCTGGACCCAGACGAGCACTTCGAGGCAGCTTGCATCATGGGCCAATACTGAGAGATCGCCTGTCTCAGACACCGACCTTCAATTTGCAGCCTATCTGTATGCCAGGGAAAAGGATTCCTTGAGTTCATGGAGGAGAAGGGCACTGGGCATCCTGCGCGGGCTGAAACGGCGATGGACACCAGTGACGGACAAGTTGCCATCTCTCCAAACAGACTCCATTGCGGGCGTGACCACCAAGAGAGACTTGGGGTTGACTGCCTTGCTGGTGGTGATGACCAAGTGGGGAGATACCTATTATCTATTTGGTCTCACTGCTGGGTTGCCTGCAGTAGGCACTGCTCCTTGCTACAACATTTTCCCGGCGTAATCTGGAAGCATCATCACCCTGGCCGAGGTGGTCGAGGATACAGATGATCACAACCGGGCCATTATTGCCAAGCTCAGGCCGGGCCTTCATGACGATTTTCTGTTGTCACAGAGCTTGGTGGATGCGGACAAGGGATTCGGCACCTATCCCATGACCTGGTCAGAGCTTCTACGGACCACACAGGGGAATTCTTTCCGGCTCATCCCACGATGTGTGATCGTGCAACCCAGCGGCAAGAAACGTATTATTGATGATGCAGCAGTTGGTGGCCAGTCAGCACTTTCGTCCGACTACAACAAGCTGGTTCTCTGCAGTGCGCTTAGGCCAGCCCAGCATGTCGCAGCCATCGCCAGCTGGATGACCCAGAGTGACTGGGACCATCACATGGCATCCGACCACTTTGAGAGTGGTGGGGAGGATTGGCCGGATGCTTACTGACACAGCCCGATCTCCAGAGAGGAGAGCCTGGGTTGCGTTGTGGTTTGGTGGCATCACGAATGGCAACAACCAGCGTTCCAGCTCTACAACTCTTTGCTGTTTGGCCTTCCTTTGGCAGTCACGAGCTTCAACCGCCATTCAAAGTTTGTGGAAGCACTGGGACGTCGTCTTCTTGCCTGCTTGGTATCGATGTATTTTGATGATGCAAACATCGTTGATTGGGCCAGCTCCAAAAGGGGCATCGCAGATGGCTTTTGTGCAGCTCAACGAGCTCCTTGGCACCCCTTTTGCGGAAGAGAAGCACCAGCCAGTGTCAAGCCAAGGACTTTTCCTGGGCCTTGACCATGACATGTCCCACCTGAGCTCTGCAGGCTCCATCAGTTTTTGGCCACGGCAACGACTCACGGACAAGATCAAGACTTTGATACGGGATTGCCGTTCCTCAGCTCAACTGCACTCAGGTACAGCCTCCAAGATCTACGGCATGATGAATTTCCTAGAACAAGGCACCTATGGTCGCATCGGAGCCCAAGGGCTAGCACCCATCAAAGAGAGACAGTATGAGAAGGGCGTCGTCTGACACCTCGTATTTTAAAGATTTTTGAAGTCATCGAGGCGATACTTCGGGACAAACCCAAGCATCAATTCTTCATTTTTCCGCCCCCTTGCCTACGGTTTGTAGGTGCGTCGGATGCAGCCCTAGAGTGTCCAGGGCAGGGCTCCGAGGGTTTTTGTATAGTCTGGATGGATCATCCTGGTGCCACTAGGGAGGCTTTCATCGCAGACCTGCCACCAGCAGTGTATGACCTGTGGGAACCAGGTGATCGCAAGATTGCACAACTGGAGATGGTTGTCATCTTGCAGGCATTGGTCTGTAGACCGGACCACTTTCGCGAGCGACGCGGAGTGTGGTTTATTGACAACGTGGCGGTTCTTATGACACTGATCAAGGGACGAAGTGATTCCCCAGATCTTGAAGTCATGAGTGGCATAATCCACGCATTGCTTTTTGCATATAAGACCTGGATCTTTTGGGAAGGGGTCCCTTCCAAAAGTAACTGGACTGATTCGATCAGCCGGTTAGGATGGAATGATCCATGGTTCAAGTCTAATGGTTTCACAGCGCAGCTGACACCTTTTCCAGCCATTCTCTGGCGGCTTCCTATCGCGGCCATCATCCGTGCGGCCGAATTTCTTTAAATGCATTGGGACTAAGTGCGTTGGGTGTGAATTGATATCTGGAAGTGTCCAGTATCTGAACCTGACTGAAACAGGATGCCTCCATCAGCTGGGCTGATTGATCTATAGGCATACCCAATGCATTATCCTGTAGGAATACAGGTTGAAAGACCAGAGAGAATGGAGAGAGAGAAAAGGTTGAGTGCACCTGCGTTTGTGAGGGTTAGAGACTAACCTGATGACTTATTCCCCAACCTTTAAGGAATGTATGACTGTCTAGTGTTTGGCAGGCCTGGGTGGACAGTGGTCATTCCTTGGTGGTTGGTTTAATAAGGAGAAACCAATGCCAATTTTGGCTCAAGTAAATATTGATCCAAAATAGCAGCATTGTTTTCCTTGCCCTCCCTAAATCAGGGATTTTGACCCACCCTGTTATTAGGACCCCGGTGGGGTCTCCTCATAACTTGTAGTCTGCGCTGCAGATGGGGTCTTTTAGCACAGGTCTGTGAATACCTATAGATTGGAGGAGGTACTGTTCCAGCGGGTGTGAATTGATATCTGGAAGTGTCCAGTATCTGAACCTGACTGAAACAGGATGCCTCCATCAGCTGGGCTGGTTGATCTATAGGCATACCCAATGCATTATCCTGTAGGAATACAGGTTGAAAGACCAGAGAGAATGGAGAGAGAGAAAAGGTTGAGTGCACCTGCGTTTGTGAGGGTTAGAGACTAGCCTGATGACTTATTCCCCAACCTTTAAGGAATGTATATATATATATATACACACCATAGATATCGTTTCATTATTGTTTGTTTTCCTTACTGATATCGCAAGGCAAGTGGCTAAAGAATGTGATTGGCCAGCAGCTCAGAACAGAATGATGTGCAAGTGCAGGGCAACACTTGCGTCACAAAACTAGCCATGCCTCCAGCGAATTCCCGAGGCCTTTCAAACCACCGTGAGTTTGTGGTGACGGTGGGGGGTCAAGACCTTGGAAATGCGTGTTGGGCCATGGACCAATGTGAGGACAAACGAAACATGGATGAGCTTCAGGTTTGGTGTTAATCGCAATGTTTGAAGCCCAGTCTTTTTGCAAGGCGGAATGGAAGTCCATGCCACAAATACTTTCATCAGAGATCTGAACAAGGGAACTATACATGTACATACCAGGGACCAACTAAAAGTGATCGAAGACGTAGCAAGTGATCGCTGATTGTTTTTTGGTCTTTTGCTGTGCCTCTTACGTGCGGAACGGTTCGTGGCACCTGCCATCCACAAAGGCTTGGCATAATTGTGGATCTTTATCTGGCAGTCTTGATTGCCGAGAAGGTGCACAATTGGTTTGATCGAACGATGGAGATGCCACAGCTTGATGGAACATCGTAGAGGAATATGGAGGATGGTTTCTGGATGGTTTCAGGACAACACCCACCAAATGCTGATTGCTTGCCAGGGCTTTTCTCTTAGTGCGATTTTTGTTGCGTCGATTCCCCAGAGCCGGGATGAATGCGTTGTGCTGACTTTATCAGATTGCGGAACCAGATTCAAAATTCAAAGGTGAGATGCTGTGATTGTGATTAAGGGTACAGGTCAGAGATTGGTCCCCTTGGATTTTACAAATGTTAGTATTGATGTTTACTCCTTTTCATATCTAGAAGGTTTGATGGGACATCATGATGAGTTTTCTCTGTCTATGGCTTCTCTTACTACGTGCCGAGGCTTCATCTGGGATATTCCATTGCTCTGCTGGCCATGGCTGGGTAAGACCCTCAATAGCTGCTTTTGTTGACGTCTCATCCTCTCACCAGCGCATCGTGCTGTAATCATGGGTTTGCCAAGGCCTATTTTGAAGATCCACGTCGGGTTGATCTCAAGGCGCGTTCTGGGCAACTTGCAAAGAGTCGCATCATGTTGGTAGACTTCGAATTCTTGTACTTGCTCGGAAAGGAACGAGACGGCCCAAGAGTGGAAGAAGAAGGAGCATTACGTCGTCCCTGCCTTAAGATTCGTTTTCCTCAAAGTGTTTCACATCCTTCAACATGTTCCGCCGGCCCACTTTGGGAGCCCAGATACAGGTTCTGGGGCCTTGGGGGGTAATTCGCTCATGGTGTAAGCTGGTTGGTGTGAAAGCTGGTCGGTGCAAAAGCTGCTTAGTGCAAAAGCTAGTTGGTGCAAAGGCTAGTGGTGTGAAAGCTGATTTGTGAAAAGTTGATCGAGGAAGATTGTCGGTGCAAAAGGTGGTTGCTGTAAACATATAGTTGGCGGAAAAACTTGTTGGTATAAAAGCTCACTAGTAAAAGCTCGATGCACAGAAGCTAGTCGGTGCAAATCCTGGCTGGTTGAAGCTAATCGGTTTGAAGCAGCTCCCGGTGTAAATGCTGGTATTTGGGGTGCTGTCAGCTCCGTGACCAGCAAAAACACCTTTGTATTACAGAGTTTTGCCGTTTTCAAACCCTTGTAAAAAAGGAAGCAGCACCGGGAGGAATTGATTTGGCAGCAATTGCTTTTCTGGGTTTATGAACATCCCGGTGGGCAAGAACGGTTTTGTTCACGCATCCAAGAAGAAAGAAAGGAATGAAGCAAAGCTTCAGAGGAGATGGAGGTTTCCCCCCTTCGATTCGCACTATATTACTATATCATATTCATACGTATAGATCATATATCATATTACACGTACAATATATGTACTGATACTTATATGTACTGATACTTACTTATATGTACTGACACTTATAACATCTTGTATATATATATATACACACCAATATTATCATACATCATATATCATATATCATACAACATCATACAACATACATAATACATCATCATACATTATATATAATATTAATACTTATATGTACTGACACTTATATATACACACCCATATTATCATACATCATATATCACATATCATACAACATACATAATACATCATCATACATCATGCATGACATATCATATCAAATATCGTACACACACACACGCATATATATATATACGTATATATATATAAATATGTACATACACACACACACATATATATATATATACATGTATATATACATACATATATATATATGTATATATATATATATATTATTATCACCATTTTATTGGTTCAATCATAATGTTGCCTTCTAAGTGTGTTCATTTCGGGTCCTGCTAGGCCAACAACACCACCATTGGTGACAACATTCCTGTGGAGGAACTGGATGATGATGAGTAGCTCCAGCATGTTGACCTTGTTTTCAGTCATCCTTTCTTAAAACACTATTCCTGTGATTTTCCAGGTCTTTATTTTTCATTTCCATGATTTTGGAGTTCCGAGATCTTTGGAGTCTAGGCACCTGCTTTTTGGAGATATTGCAGTGTGTGGCATATTGCTTGTTTGCATCGGACCCGTGCAGAAAGAACAGTTGTTGCACCTTCCGAATTTCGGCTTGAAGGATGACAGATAAGGAAATGCAAAGAGGTCGAGACCGTGAAGCATTTTTGATTCACTTCACTCGAATCCACAGACTGGCCTGGCCAGATACAACGACATCTTCGACCGCGATGCTTTTGTGTATGATCGCACCAGGACTTGACAGCAGCATCACAGTCCAGTCTCTGTCAAGTTTTTTCCACTTGAAGCATCCCTCATTGATTCGCAATGGGCACATCAGAGCTTGCCAGGAACCCTTTTGACAACGGGAGATTCACAAACTGCTGGAACTTTTGGTGCCAGCCCCGTTGGCCTGCTGCCAGGGGCTTACTTCTATGCCACGCTATGCGTTCCCAGCCAATGTTTGCATGTCACAAAGCTGCAGTATGTCACAAGTGTATACTGTATGCGAGTGCTGGAATGCACCTTACACATGCCTTCTATAAACTCGCGTTGTTCAAAGCTGTCTTCAATGTCTTCGGTCCAAACAAAGCTTGGCTTTGGGTTGGTTCCCAGGATGCCAAGGGCGAGTTCTGAGCAAGTGAAGAACTCCATGTGTGCCTCCGTGGACTCGATATGACTCCATGGACTGGACATGTCTCACATGTCCCGTACTGTAATGTATTTGTCTGCGGCTCAAAGTTGTGATGCCTACTGACCCACAGAACTGGTCATGTTCAGTGTTAAATTTAAATCATTTGGATTTTTCTGAAAATATCTGAAAATAGGGTACCACCCGAAAGAAAATAATGTAAATAATATCATTTTCCCATGACCATGGCCATTTGGAGTATCCCCACTTTCAGACAGTCCAATTTGGGGCCAACATTTTAGTGTAAGACAATCGGGTCAGGATTCTTGTGTTGATTCGTTGAGCGCTGCTCAATTTGAGCCATACTATATGTAATATATGTAATATATATAGGCATTGATTGCATTTGGCTGAAAAACTCAAAGCGAAGTTCAGCCAAATAGTCGTGAGCAGGGTTTTCCTGCCGTTAATGATCCCAAGTTGGGTGCTAATGTCGCCCTGTCCCTGTGCCAATGAGCGTCGACATTTCTAGAGTCAACTTGCTTCAGCTGTGAAAGAAGCTACAGCAATCATGTCCGAGCATGCAGAGTGCTTGTATCATGCTTGGAGCTGCAACACTGACTAGATTGAGCTGACGAAACAAATCCTGCAGCTTCCGGCTCAACAGCGCGTTCAAGCAATTTGTTCTGTCGGCTGAAAAAGAAGCCCAGAGAAAGACTCCACCATGCTGACACCGAACATGTCTGGAGTGACTCCAGACATGTTCGGTGTCAGCATGGTGGAGTCTTTCTCTGGGCTGGAGTGAGCTATGTTGCGGACCATTCCATGAGGAAGCTGCAGCTCCAAGCTGTGACACAGTGTGAGGTTCACAGTGAGACTCACAGTGAGACTTGCTTCATTTTTCCTGAACAATGCAGGTCTGCCGCCTGCGCTTACGGAAGCGCCTTGGAAAGAATTTGGCACAGGTGAAAGTGGTGCGACTGATCCCAAATGAGGTTTAGTCTGTGATATTTTCATTCAAGGCTGCAAGCCAGCGCTGCAAATCGGACAATACGACCGTATTGTCCGATTTGCAGCGCTGGCTTGTAGCCTTGAATATACCAGTATAACTGGTATTGTCCGATTTGCAGCGTCACTCACAGGGACCTATGCCAACGTGCAGACCTTACCACCGTTCAGATTGAATTGAGTTTGTTTGCTGACTCTTTGAACAGTTGGATTCCTAGAGTGGTCTTTTCCTTCTGCTATTCGTCAAGAGGTATACGCATTTGATGCAGCCTGCCGCCGCTCCCTGCATGACTGGTGCTTTCAGCTTTATAACGATGAAGCTCAGCATGTCAGCATGTTGCATGCATGCAGCAACCTCTTTGAATCTGCAGGAATGAGTCTGCCCCCCTTGACGGGTGGACTTCATGGACCGACGGCACGTCTCCCCTTCCCACCTACGCACCTTGGCCGCAAGAACTCAATCTGTCTTGCGAGACAAGATTTTTGTTCAGAAGGGGACACCATGGGAGTGCGGTTTTTCACTGCATTCTGCAACCACTGACACTGCACATCTTTGCAACCACTGCATCTGCAATGGTTCTCTCACTGCTTTGCAACCATTGACAATTTCTGCTTGGTTGCTTCAAGCGAGCTTGTATTGAGGACTCTCTTGACCAGCAGCAAGCCACCAACCCAGCGCGAAGATGACAAGGAAGGTATGCAGGATATGGTCTTTAGTCTTTAGTCAGAATGACCATCCATAGACGCGAAAGCTACCAATTCTAGGAATTCCAAACTTCCGAGACAACCCGCGAAGTTTCACCTGTCAGCAGTTCACTGCCTCTGCGCCCTGTGCCGAAGAGGGTTGGTTGGACGATGAACAAGTTTTGTCGTCGTCAAGCCACCCTTCTTCGGCACAGGACTCCTTCAATACTCTTTGCAGCTCCAAGTGTTGCGAAACTGACTCGAGAAAGTCGAGTCTAGTACAGCGTTGTGCAGAATTATTTGAACCCCTGTGTTTCACCGTCCATTTCCATTCAGTGACCTTGGGCGCTTAGAGGTCCGAGCGAGGACCTTTTGTGGCGTAGCGGCGTAGACCTTAAGCCAGTGTTGACTGTGGCGGCGACCGCTGGCAATTTTGATTTGGGGTTGCTTTGATCCACAGGGGGATCTACTCACCGTACGTGTTGAACCTTGCGGCGATGGCGGCTGGAAGCACTTGCTGTTTCCACTGCCTGGCCATCAGAATGTGATGGGTTGCATGGGGTGCCTTGGTTCAACGCTGGGTGAACCTATCATGGTCGCAGTATTTCACAGTATTGCTACGTTGACGTCAAGGAATGTGCCTTAACAGATCCGGGGCAAGTGAGGAAGACTCGCAACACCACCATTGATATCGTTACATTATTGTCGTTTTCCTATGTTTTCCTTATATAATGATATCGCAAGATTCGCAAGGCAAGTGGCTTCAGATGGCTTCAGAATGTTATAATTAATGACATTTTTAAGCCACTTGCCTTGCGATAGCAGATGATAGCAGTATATATTGATATTATTGGCCAGCAGCTCAGAGCAGAAGGCAAAACCAGCCATGCCTCCTGCAAATTCCCGAGTCCTTTTGAATCACAGTTTGTGGCACCTCACGATGATTTGAAAGTGGTGATGGTGGGGGGTTCACCTTGGAAATGCGTGCTGGGCCATGGGCTGTGAGGGCCACTGAAACATGGATGAGCTTCAGGTTTGGTGTTAATCGCAGTATTTGAAGCCCAGTTTTTTTGCAAGCTGGAATGGAAGTCCATGCCACAAATGCTTTCATCAGAGATCCGAAAAAGGGAATTATACATACTAGGCCCTAGGCACCAACTAATGGTTATAGAACGCGAAACAGATTATCACTGATTGTTTTTTGGTCTTTTGATGTGCCTCTTAGTGCCGAACAGTTCGTGGCACCTGCCATCCACAAAGGCTTGGCATGATTGTGGATCTGTATTTGAAATAGAGGTCCACAAAAATGTCCTGATTGCAGAGAAGGTCACAATTTGTTTGATCGAACGATGGAGATTGCCACAGCTTGATGAAACATCATGGAGGAATATGGAGGATGGATGAGGATGGTCTCTGGATGGTTTCTGGATGTTTTCTGGACAACACCTAATAGTTGCTAGCATCCAGATCTTGGTCACTCAAATATCAAAATTATTGATTGCTCACCGGGGCTTCTTGGCGAGTGAGATCAATAATCTCACTCGGCAAAAATCATCAAAAATCCCCGTCGCATCGATTCCACAGAGCCGTGACGAACGCGTTGTGCTGACTTTATCAGATTGCGGAGCCAGATCACAGAATTCGAAAGGTAAGATGGTCTGATTTGTGATTGGGGTACAGGTCAAAGATTGCTTGAGCGAAGTTTAGCCAAAAAGCAGCGAGCAGGGTTTTCCTGCCGTTAATGATCCCAAGTTGGGTGCTAATGTCGCCCTGTCCCTGCGCCAATGAGCGTCGACACTTCTAGAGTCAACTTGTTTCAGCTGTGAAAGAAACTACAGGAATGATGTCCGAGCATGCTCGTGCTTGTATCATGCCTGGAGCTGCAACACTGACTAGATTGAGCTGACGAAGCAAATCCTGCAGCTTCCGGCTCAACAGCGCGTTCAAGCAATTTGTTCTGTCGGCTGAAAAAGAAGCCCAGAGAAAGAAAGACTCTGACAATGCTGACACAGAACATGTCTGGAGTGAGCTATGTTGCGGACCATTCCATGAGGCAGCTGCAGCTCCAAGCTGTGACACAGTGAGACTCACAGTGAGACTCACAGTGAGACTTGCTTGTTTTTTTCCCGAACAATGCAGGTCTGGTGCCTGTGCTTACGGAAGCACCTTGGAAAAAAATGGCACAGGTGACAGTGGTGCAACTGATCCCAAATGAGGTTTAGTCTGCGATTTTTTCATGCAAGGCTACAAGCCAGCGGTGCAGATCCAACAATATCATCTACCCCACTCGGAGGGACCTATGGCAACGTGCAGACCTTACCACCGTTCAGATTGAATTGAGTTTGTTTGCTGACTCTTTGAACAGTTGGATTCCTAGAGTGTTTTTTTCCTTCTGCTATTCGTCAAGAGGTATACACATTTGATGCAGCCTGCCGCCGCTCCCTGCATGACTGGTGCTTTCAGCTTTATAACGATGAAGCTCAGCATGTCAGCATGTTGCATGCACGCAGCAACCTCTTTGAATCTGCAGGAATGAGTCTGCCTCCTTGACGGGTGGACTCCATGGACCGACACCACGTCTCCCCCTCCCACCTACGCACCGTGGCCGCAAGAACTCAATCTGTTTTGCGAGACGATGTTTTTGTTTCAGTATTCAAGATGAACTCTGCTTCTTTTGTTGCTTTAAGCGAGCTTGTCTTGAGGACTCTCTTGACCAGCAGCAAGCCACCAACCCGGCGCGAAGAAGACAAGGAAGGTATGCTGTATATTAATGTATATTATACTTTTAATAAGAGTGATAATCCACTCAGCGTCGAAAGCTACCAATTCCAGGAATTCCAAACTTCCGAGACAGCCCGCAAAGTTTCACCTGTCAGCAGTCCACTGGGGGCCTCAAGTGTTGTGCAGCCCAGTCAGTTTCGCGACACTTGGAGGGTAAAATCAGATACTGTATTGCCTGATGTAAAGAGTATTGAAGGAGTCCTGTGCCGAAGAGGGATGGCTTGATGATGAGAAATTTGGCGCTGAAGACAAGCCTGGCCCTCGAGAAAGTCTAGTGCAACAGTGTGCAGAATTTTCTGCACCCTTTTTTAAAATATTTAGTGACCTTGGGCGCTCAGGGGTCCGAGCGAGGACTACACCTTTTGTGGGGTAGACCTCAAGCCAGTGTTGCCAGTGGCCTGATCCCCAGGGGATCTACTCAGCAGCAGACGTGTTTGGTAATTGATAGTTGATGATGCAATATGATGCAATGACATGATGGCTGGAGGCACTCGCTGTGTCAACTGCCCGGACCTCAGAATGTGATGAGTGCTACAGTCACCGGAGCTTCTGCATGCTGTAGTAGTCACTCTCAATCTTTAAACGCACATTGATACAGCTCGAGGTGATCGGGGGACTCTGTATGCTCCTGGTTCAGATCCCCATGCTGTCCAGATTCACCTTCTTGGACCAGGCTATATACTTTACAGCTGCATGTCATGGAACGGTTTCTCATCTTTTTCACATGCTTTTCTTTTCTGGCTTCAGGTGTATCTATCTGCGAGCTTTGCAGTGCTTTATGTCGTTGTGATGGGTTGCATGGGGTGCCTTGGTTCAACATAGCTGGGCGAAGGCATCATGGTCACAGTATTGCTACGTTGACCTGTCAGGTACTGCGCCTTCACAGATCCCGGGCAGGTCAAAAAGACCCGCAACACCAAAGTTGGTGCCATGGACATTGAGGAGGCTCCAGACCAACCTTCACGCAGAATTGGAAGTCAGAAATCGCATCAAATCGTTGCATATTGTCATATATTGTCACTATTGGTCAGGGGATGCCACGGCGCGCACATAAGCATTGCCCTCAGCCGCCCCAGAGTGGAAGGAAAGGAGTTCTGGGTTTTCAGTAGCGATGCACCTTGAACTTGTCGGAACCGCGAGGTCATGGCAATATCCTCGCGCAATCCGGCGCTACGACCACTATTGTGCCCTTGTTTGCAATCGGTGCCTCATGGCAAGGGAATGAAGGTTTTTGCCTTGCTCCTTGGTGAACCTGATACCAGTAGTACCGCACAAGGCGGTGGCGGAAGTTTCAAAAATAGGAAACCTATAGGAGAGGTTGGTTGTTGTGAATCACGGATGGCAGAGCGAATCCACTGATGGACCGAAAGGTGGTTGAAGTTGTGTTTTTTGGAGTGGTTGCAATGGTTGCAGTGGTCACCTCCACCACAGCTGCTGGATGTAGTGTGGTGTACTGCAGTTGTAATTGTAGTTGTAGTTGTAGTGTCGTGTAGTGGAGTTGTAGCTGTAATGTCTAATAAGTGTAGTGTAGTTGCAGTTGCAGTTGTAGTTGTAGTTGTAGTTGTGTTGTGGTGTAATTAGTGTATAGTAGTGTATTGTATTGTAGTGTACTGTAGTGTTGTGTACTGTAGTGTGGTATAGTGTAGTGTAGTCTAGTGTAGTGTAACGTAAGGTAGTGTAGTTGTAGTTGTAGTGAAGTGAAGGGTAATTAGTCTAGTGTTGTGTAGTGCAATGTAGTGGTAGTTACAATTGTAGTTGCAGCTGCAGTTATAGTAGTAGCTGTAGCGCAATGCAATGTAATTAGTGTAGTGTAGCGTAGTGTTGTGTAATGTAGTGTAACAGTTGTAGTTGCATTTGTATTTGTAGCGTGCCGCCAACCCAGAGGATTTCCCTGCGGACTTCTCGGACGATGATGACCAATCCGGGCTGTGAGTAGATACCGCTCTGCTTTTCCATGCAATTCATTTCTTTGTCTCTGGAATTTTGATCAAATGATCCAAACCCAGCTGACCAAATCAGAGCTTGCATGGAACATGCATCTTCCAAAAAAGCCCGACAGCGGGGCGTGTGTGTGGAACATTTGAACAGATGTCGAAGCGGCCACAGTACATGCGGATATCACGGCTGATCACCGTGTCGTACGTGCTTCAATTTTCATGTCAATTTTCTGAGATGGGATGTGGCTAACCCAAGAACCACCATGCCGTTTCCAAACAACTTGTTTTCAATTTTCTCGGTTTGCGCGGTTTTCGCAATCTGTCAAGGTGGGAACGATTTGGCTTAGTTGAAAGAGAAGGGTCGCCTTCCACCTCATTTCATCTAGCTCTGGCTATGGCAATGGTAACTTGTTGATACTTCTCGGGTCTTTTCACCGACCCATTCCTGTCAGGTATAATTGGAGTGTTTTTAAAATTTTTGCACGTAAGATGCATTTCACATCAGAATTCGCAGTGATAGTTCTGAGCAAGTGTGTGGGTGTGTGTGTGTATTACGCATGTATATGTTCTAAGAGCGTCTGCTATTTTCAAACTTTTTGCATCTTTTTGCGCTTCTTGAATGTTTGATTTTTCTGAGACCATCTGCCTTTTTGATGGTTCTGCATTTTAAATTACTGAATGGTTGTGATTTCTGCGGGTCTGTCCTTTTGGTGTTTATGTTATTTTTTTTTGTGAGCGCCTGTCATGTTGGTGCTTCTGTTCGTTTTGACATGTGAATTGTTGAATGTTGACATTTTCTCCGACCCTCCGCCATTTTGAGGTTTGTAAGTTTCTTGAATATTTGAATTGTCTGAGAGCGATCACCATTTTAATGTTTTCGCGATTTTTGATGTCTTTTATTTTTCTGAGAGCGATAACAAGTTTGGTGTTTTTGCGGTTTTCTTGAATATTTCCATTTTTGAGAGTGGCCATTTTGGTGTTTTTGCGGTTTTTAAATTTTGTTTTTTTTCGAGAACAACCACCGTTTTGGTGCTTTTGCGGTTTAAAAAATTTTGAATTTTCTGAGAACGAACACCATTTTTGGTGTTTTCGCGGCTTTTGAATTTTTGAATTTTCAGAGAGCGACCACCGTTTTGGTGGTTTCGCAGTTTTTAGATAGATATCTTAGATATCTATATATATTGTTCAAAAAATTAGTAAATATACAATATGTCCAATGTATGTGCTTTGTATATAAACATAGGATATTGCATAGACAAACTACCACCAATGTATATCACATATCAGTTATCACAAATAACATTCAATCCGTTATATACAAAGTGTGGCAAAGGCACACGCACATATATATATATATATGTATATATAACATACCTAGTGATTGATATCATTATCATTGATTTGCTCACTGATATCCCCAGGCAAGTGGTTACAAAACGTAATTGGCCAACAACTCAGAGCAGAATGATGCAAGTGCATGGCAACACTGTCGCGAAACTAGTCATGCCTCCAGCGAAATCCTGAGGCCTATTGAATCACCGTGAATTCGTGGTGATGGTGGGGGGTCAAGACCCTGGAATCCTTGGAACTGCGTGCTGAGCCATGGACCGTGTGGACCATTGAAACATGGATGAGCTTCAGGTTTGGTGTTAATCGCAGTGTTTGAAACCCAGTCTTTTTGCAAGCCGGAGATAGCCGGAGTGGAATTCCATGCCTGCAAGTCCGAGAATGCATTCCTCAGAAGTCGGAACAAGGGAACTATACATATACATACTAGGGACTAGGGACCAACTAAAAGTATCTAAAAGTGATAGAACACGTAGCAAATGATCGCTGATTGTTTTTCGGTCTTTTGCCGTGCCACTTACGTGCCGAACAGTTCGCGGCACCTGCCATCCACACAAAGGCTTGGCATAATTGTGGATCTTTATCTGGCAGTCTTGATTGCCGAGAAGGTGCACAATTGGTTTGATCGAACGATGGAGATGCCACAGCTTGATAAAGCATCATGGAGGAAGATGGAGGATGGTTTCTGGATGGTTGTGGGACAACATCCAATAGTTGCCAGCATCCAGAGCTTGATCACGAAAGTATCAAGAATACTGATTGCTCGCCAGGGCTTCGTCGGCAGTGAGATCATTGTTGCGTCCATTCCACAGAGCCATGACGAACGCGTTGCGTTGACTTTATCAGACTGCGGAGCCAGATTTCAGAATTCGAAAGGTGAGATGCCCTGATTGTGATGAAGGGTGCAGGTCAAAGATTGGACCCTTTGGATCTACAAATGTTAGTTTCTATATTCTTTTTTGTATCAAAACGGTTTGATGGGACATCATCATGAGTTTTCTCTGGCTATGGATTCTCTTACAACGTGCCCAGGCTTCACCTGGGATATTCCATTGCTCTGCTGGCCATTGATGGGTGAGACCCTCAATAGCCTCAATAGCTTATTTCATTGACTTCTAGTCATCTTGCAAGTGTTGCGTGCTGTGAATCATGAGTTTGCCAAGGCCCATTTTGAAGATCCACGTCGGGTTGATCTCAAGGCGCGTTCTGGGCAACTTGCAAAGAGTCGCATCATGTTGGTAGACTTCGAATTCCTGTACTTACTCGGAAAGGAACGAGATGGCCCAAGAGTGGAAGAAGAACGAACATTACGTCGTCCCTGCCTTAAGATTCGTTTTCATCAAAGTGTTTCACATCCTTCAACATGTTCCGCCGGCCCACTTTGGGAGCCCAGATGCAGCTGGGACTTTGGAGCGTAATTCGCTCATGGTGCAAGCTGGTTGGTGTGAAAGCTGGTCGGTGTAAGAGCTGGTCACCGTAGTGCAAAGGCTAGTTGGTGCAAAGGCTAGTGGTGTGAAAGCTGCAATTTTTGCCACACAGCTACCGCCAAAACTTGGTATTATGCTCGTCGCCCCAGATAACACATCACATCCCGAGTTTTTGCCACTTGCAAGGCAGCTACCACCAAATCTTCATATCATGCTCGCGGCCCACTTCGGGGGACAGCAAAAATTACAAATCCCATTTTTTCCTTAGATCGAACTTCCTTTCGTGCGAGACTGTTGCATTTCGTTATTTTCCTGGCCTCCGCCGCAGGCCTTAAGGGATAATGGAAGGTAGCAGGAGAGAGAAAAAAAAAGAGAAGAGAAAGAGAAAAGAGAAGAAGAAGAAGAAGAAGAAGAAAAGAAGAAGAAGAAGAACAACAGGTGACGAAAAGAACACAAAGAGAAGAGGAGAGGAGAGGAGAGGAGAGAGGAGAAGAGAAGAGCTGAGGAGAGGAAGAAGAGCAGAAAATAGAGAAGTAGAGAAAAGTAAGATGTGAAGACGTAAAATGTGCAGATATGGGTATGCAGATGTGAAATGTAAAGATGCAAGGTGTGCAAATATAAAATGTGAAACCGTAAGGTGTGCAGATGAGAAATGGGTTCATGTAAGATGTGAAGACGTAACGTGTGAAAATGTAAGATGTGCAGACGTGAGATGTGCAGATGTAAGATGTGCAGACGCAAGATGTGACGATTTAAGATGTGCACATGTAAGATGTGCATATAAAGAATGTTAAAATATTGTCTCAACTCTCAACTGTTTCTTTTTCGAAGAACCCTACGCTCAGGTGCTCTCGGGAACAAATCACGAGCAGCAGTTTCAGAAAAGCGGGTGGTATCCCCCATGCGACATGTATATATAATTATATATATATATACATACATAGAAACATTGATGTCCCCATTTTGTTGAGTATGTAATATATATGTATATATATATATTATACATACATTATAATATATAAATGTAGTTACACAAATACATATACATATATATATATATAACAAAAACAATATGAACACATATCCCCATTTTGTTGATTCAATCCCATTGTTGGCTGCTGACTGTGTTCATTTTGGATCCTGAACAGGCTAACAACACCACCATTGGCGACAACATTCCTGTGGAGGAACTGGATGATGACGAGTAGTTCCAGCATGTTGACTTAGTTTCAGTCATTTTTCTTCAAACACCTTTCCTTTGATTTTCCAGGTGTTCATCTTCAATTTCCGTGTTTTTGATTTCCGAGATCTTTGCAACTTTGGCAGTTTGTCATCTGCGTCTTGGATATATAAAAATATATATATTTAGAACTAAAACATATAGTTTGTTCGCATCGGACCCATCGGAAAAAAAACACGTGTTTTTTGCACCTTCCCAATTTCTACTTGAAAAATGGCATATCATGAAATGCAAAGAGATCGAGACGGTGAAATATGTTTGATTCACTTCACTTGAATCCACAGACTGGCCTTGCCAGA